CCCTCTGAAGTAGTACTGCGTCTCTACGTCTTCTTATTTTGTTTTTAAACTCTCTTCACAGCTATTATTACCACCTGAAATTCTTACATATTTAATGTCTGCAGTCCATCTGCAGAGCAGACTCCTCTATCTTGTCCACCACTGCATCTTCCATGCTTACAGCAGTGCCTATAAGCACTGGTTACTGAAAATCAGAACATACACAGAAGGACCTTAATTCAGGGATGTGACATTCAAACATGGAAATCATCTTCCCACTGGGCTAATATTCAAGTGTTCCACAGAACAGGTACCCTTTCCTACAGAACCTAGATGTGCATACTGCAAGGAGGATATTTCCCCCAATAGCTAATGTTTTCTCTTCCTTAAAGATGTTTTCTACATAAAGATGCCTCAGATAATAAGCCACAGACATACTAACAACTTATGTTATGTAGTGCATCTTCCTGATGAGTGGTGCACACCACCTGCAACACCAGCATAGTTCTACTGTCCAAAGTCCTGTGTTTGTTGTCATGAGAACCTTTTCACCCATACTGAAGGTACTATGGGTATTAAAGGACTTTAATACTCAGGATGTAGCTCAGTGGTAGAGTACGTGTGTAGTATGCATGAGGCCCTCAGTTCCATTCCCAGCAGGGGGGTGTAAGAGGCAGGACATTCATGAGCCTAATAAAATGATGGGAAGCCCCAGGTAGATGTGATGATTGCTAAAGTGCCATGAACACAAAGCCCCCAAGAGGAACTGTGCTTAAGTCATACTGAGAAAAGGACTGTCTTTTGTAAATATATGTATCAAGACCCATCTGGTCAAAGTAAGAGCAGCCACAATGTGATTCCTATGCATTGTAAACCACTAACAGGAAGACAGACAGCATTTTATGTACTATATAATTCTTTGAGTTGTATATAGTTTTCAGCTCAAGACAGAATGGAAGAATTGGGTATGAAAGAGAAACCTCTTACAGATTAAATCTCAGGCACACGGGCCAAACTGGCCAGGTAGAGGGAAAGTGAAAGTTCAGAAAATTCCCAGGGGCCACAAAAGTAAAAGCAGTCACAAAATCATGCTTTCCAGTATTTTGCCCAAGTCCAGGTTTCAGGTTCATCACAGCTTTAAAAAAAAGAGGGGGGGGGGGGGGGCGGGCAACAGGAAGATAAAGATTCCAGGACCACATCTACCACTAGCTGATTTTTGCCTTGAACAGGCAGTGAACTGTAACAGACCTGGTACAGGCTTTGAAGCCAAGAGGAGGGCTCCATCCAGACCCTGACTCTCCCTGACTCTATAATCTTTGAGGAAAAGTAAAGTTGAAGTACTTCTCAGGTCTGTTGGATGGCCATTGTAAGACAATTCAAAATACCTTGAACATGCAGCCAAGCATGGCTGGCACATGCCTGTAATCCCAAGGACTTGAGAGGCTGAGGTAGAAGATCCACAAGTTTGAGGTCAGCCTCAGTGACTAAGCAAGACTGTAAATAAACAACTTAGTGAGACCCTGAGGGGCTGGGGATGTGGCTCAGTGGTAAAGCACCTCTAGGTTCAAGTCCCCAGTACCAAAAAAAATCAAACAAAAACAAATACAACAAAAATCTTGGACAGAGCCTAGCATATGTGTTTGTGGAATTTGTTTTGATTTGGTTTTGTACTGGGGACTGAACCAAGGGGTGCTTTAACACAGAGCAACATGTCCATCCCTTTTCAATTTTTTTATTTTGAGACAGGGTCTTTAATTTTGTTGCTGAGGCTGGCCTCAAACCTGTGATCCTCCTGCCTCAACCTCCCGAATCACTGGAATTATAAGCATGCACCACCACACCTGGCAGTTTTGTGTTTGTTTTTTTTTTTTTTTTTTAAATACAACTGTTAATATCCTTTTCTATCTATATGAAGATGCTGAACTTACCAAGAGCCTAATTCTAATTTTCTGGTCAAAACAAATGTGATCATGCCAACTATATTCCCTTTTATTTTATATCATTAAGAAAAAGGTATACCGCTAAGGTTACAAAACCTAAAAGTTCAAGTCTCCTAACAGTTTACTTAAATTTAGCAGCCTTCTCTCACATACATACACACAAATTACCTCAGTGGAATAAGTTTTATAATTTTCCCCTATAAGTTTTAAGTGAACATAATATATACATGGGAATGTGATAAGTACTTATAATTTTGAGTAACTATGGTTGTTTAAACCTAGGGTTTGAGTAACTAGTAACTAAGGTTGGTTTAAACTGCACACAGTCATAATTCAAATCCTAATAATTGCTTATTTGTAAAATTTCAAATAATTCGTCTGTGTAACCATAAAAAAAAGTGACTATATGATAAGCCTGATGTTAGCATAAAAGAAAACCTCTACCAACCCATCTCCAAAAGTGTCATTATGAGCACAGCTTCCAACCACCCTAAGATCCTTCTGGAAACCATGCAGACTGAGTAAAAAAGTGAATCTAAGAAAGGCATATTACACCACATTAAGTACATGTCCCTCAAGTATCACTAAAAATTTAAGACAAGCAAGACCAAATTCTGAGGTTGGTCTAGAAGTACTTACCAGTCAAAAGCATGGCCTAAGGCCCTCACACACCATAAAATAAGTGAAACTAATTGGGGTTCTTCAGCATCTGTGAGGCGGCATCTTGCTACCATTAAGGGATAAATCGGGGATGCAAATAATTAGTGCACCCTGAGGTGACAGTTAATTCCTCTAGCCTACCATTTCACAGGAGATTTTTATGGATGTCTACTTCACCCCGACTGAGAATACCAAAGCTGGAAATTTCAAAAGCTAGCCAAATGTCCCACTGAAAGAACTTTAAATAAGATGTCTCTACAATCCCCAGCAAAGAAAGATCTTCGAACATACAAAGCCCCTGTTGCACACTAGCCACACTTGCAAAGTATTCAAACATACTCTGAATTTTTTTTTCTGAAAACTCTTTCATAAAGAAAAAATATATAAGGAGGACTTGGCATAGAAGAGAATAACAATCCTGTACAGTTTCTGTTCTGAAGCACAGAACAGCACCTGGGATTTGAGGAAAGCCTACCCTGGCCAACTTTTACGCTCTGGTGGAAAAGAGGCTGGAAGCTAAAGGGCCGGTTTTTTCAAAGCCAGGTTAGGTAGAGCTAGTATTTCTCGAAAAGTTACCTATGGCCAAATGAAAGCACAAAACAGGCAAGCCCCCAAAACAAAACGAAATAACGCCAACCGAGGCATTCAACGAATGGGGAAACAGGGGGCCTTGGGAGGGGCGGTCACTTGCCCTGGGTAGCAGTTTATTTGGTGATAAAGCTGGAAGCAGAGTCCTGGTCTCCCAGGTGGGAATTCAGTGGTTTCGCATTCACCAAGCTGCCACCCCACGTGAGGATGTTTTATAAAACTCTTCACTCTTCACTGAGGCTGTTAACATAAGGGTCCAATTATCATCCAAAGATCAGCCAGTTAGATAATAGCTCAAAAATTCCATCCATTTTACAGCATTTACCAGAGTCATCTAATCTCCTAGGGCAAAGGAAAGCAGAGGAAAGGGAGAGATACTAATTTTGACCTGTCCCCTAAGGGCAAACCACAGGGAAGGATAGAGACAGAGCCGAAGCCCCCACCCACAGACCCAGGAGGGCGGCCGCTCCTCGCCACCGCCCCCCCAACGCACCGAATTCCACTCCCACCGCGGCGCACCCCCGACGTTCCACCTCCCGCCGCAGCCCGAGCGGGTCGGCAACTCGCCCTCGACCACCGCTCGGCCCCGAGAGGAGGGATGAGGCGCTCAAGCCGCAGGTCCGCGAACGATCCCGCTCGCAGAGCCGGCGGCGGAGGAGCCGGGAGAGCCACAGGAAGTGTGTCCTGCGCCCGCAGCTCGCGCCCCAGCGGGTACCTGCCCTCCGCCGCCAGCAGGCGAGCAGCAGCCGCGCAGCAGCCGCGTCCACATGGCTTCAGGTGTTCCAGGGCCGCGGCCCGCGCTCCGACTCCCGGGCGCCCCGGCGCGGCTCCCTCCCGCGCGGCCCCTCCCCGCCCGGCCCTCCGCCCCGCCGGCCTCGCCTCCGGCCCGCAGCGAAGCGCCTCGGGTCCCCCCGGGACGGTCGCGGGCCCCGGCTGTGGCGCGCACCCCGCAGCCCCCCGGAGCCGCCCGTTCACACCCGCCGCTTTTGCACCCAAGGCCGCGACGAGCAGGTACTCCTCCCCGCACCCTCGGGCTGTCCCGGCGCCGCCCGACCCCTCGCCCCGGGCTAGGCCGGGCCCAGTTCCCCGCAGTCCCGGGCCGGGACAGTGCCCTCATCACCCCCGGCCCCGGCGCGGGCTCTGGGGGCTCCCTCTCCCAGGTCCAGCCAGGCAAGGAGCCCTGCGCCGGCCGCGAGGGCAGACAGCTCGGCCCGCCCCGGGCTGACCCCTCCCCCGGCCCGGGCGGCGGTTACCTGCGGGAGCCCCCCCGCCCCGTCCCTCGGCCTCCGCCGGGGGTGGGAGGGGAGGGAGCGGCGGTGGCGGGCGGCGCTGCGCGGGGTGGGGGTGGGGGTGCCTCTGCCGCCTCCAGCTCGGACGCCCGGGCCGGCGGCGGGGCGGGCCGGGGCCGCAGCCCCTCGAGGCTCGCTCCGGCCCGCGCGCTCGCTCGCTCGCTCCTCGGTCGGGCACGCCTCAGGGTGGGCTCCCCCGGCGGAGGCCGCGGCCGCCTCGCAGGGGCCGAAAGCGGCTCGGCTCGGGGTTTTTTCTCTCCATTCTCCCAACACACAGGAAATAACAGAGCGTCAGGTGACGGCGCGCGGCCAATAGGGAGGCTCCGGGCCGCGGCGCGCGGGCGGGCGGGCGAGCGCGCGGCGGGGCGGGGCGCGCGGCGGGGGCGGGGCGCAGGGGGCGGGGCCGGCGCGCGCGTGCCCACCCGCGTGCGGCGGCGTCGAGGCCAGCGCGCGCCGCGCGGAGGCCGCCGACACTCTAGCGGGGCGGCCAGGGTCGCGTGGGGTGGGCTCTAACGCTGCTGAGCGCAGCACGCCGCCCGCCCGGGGCCCTCTTCGGGGTGGCCGGGAGCCAACTTTCTGGGGAGTTGGTGGCCTGGAATCTCACTGGGATTTCTGGAGTTCCCTGTAGCCTCCAGTGCCAGAGTCGCGCCTTTCAGCAGCCCGGGGAGGCCGCGGGCGAGGGCCGAGTCTCCTCCCCGCAACGGTGTAGTCGGGCGGGTCCTGCCAGCCAAGCACCCTTGGCCCTGGGGAGCCCAAGGCCGTGCCAGGCCGGCCTGGTTCTCTTGCCTCAGCTCCATGGCGCCTAGTTTCTTTGGACTTGCTCCTTCTGAGCCTCTTTTTCCTCCGCAGTAAAAGCGAGGGGCAGCAGGAGGGAGACCGGGCTACCTACCTTACCAGACGCTCCGCAAATGCCAGTTGACTTCTCCAGCTGCGGCATTGAGAAGCTGCAGTGTCTGGCAGGCCGGACCCAGCGTCCACGACAGACTCGGGAGACTTGCAGTGCCTCTACCTTAGCCCCTGCCCATCCTTCTTTGCAAACCTGATGTGTTTATAGAGCAAAAGAAGGGCTTGACGTATTTTTTTTTTCCACTAAGAAAATCTGTTGTAGAAAACCACCGTGTGCATGGTGGTGCCATGGGACCTTCTAACAAAGCGAGGCCAATAAGGATGGGACGTGTTTGGAGTATTTGTAGCCTGCCTCATACTGGCCCAGTGACCTGGCCAAATTCTCTCTACTTTGCCTCTGTCTCCTAATGGTATAATGGGAAGGAGGAGAGTTTGAATTAGATGACCCTAATGTGAGCTAAAATAGCTGATTTTTAGGCCAATATCTGTTGTAGATGTTAGGGAAGTATGTGGCTCCCTGTCCTGAAGCAGCCCCACTTCAAAGTGCATTAGGACTGGAGAAGTGCTTCTGGCAGCAGATGAGGCCTGGGGTACCTCACTATATTTGAGCTACTTAGCTCCCTGAGGCCAGGATTTACCCTTTCACCTTTCACCCCATTTGGCCAGAGCAGTTAATGCTTTGCTTTGCCTCAGGCCACCCAGGGAGGGCCTGGAGTAGTTCTGGGCACCCTGGCAGGATGTGGTTGGGGAAAGCAGTGATTTCCCCTGGCTTCTGTCCAACCTGTCAAAGTGGGGGACGGCTCCAATGCAGGTCAGGACTATTCCTGGGGATTTGATTCCCAATATCTCCTGCATGCCAGGCAGGGTGCCAAACTCTTCCGGGGCAAAGCTGAACAGGCCACCAGGCCCTTCCCTCTGGCTGTTCCCATTGTTCGTCTGTGAGTTTCATTTTCAAATTCTCAGGCACAATGACTTTAAAAAGAGCAATGCCTGGCTTCAGCCTGGGTCAGGGCTACAGAAGCAAAAGTAACAGGACTCAGCAGGCTCACGCCTTCTGAACAAAAATAGGAGAAGCAGAGGAGCTTCCTAAAAACCATGTTGGGGGCACCCTCGGCTTGAGAGAATTCACAAGGAAAAGGGAAGCCCCTTTCCTCAGCCCCATCATCCCTCCTTCACTCATTGGTCTAAGGGTTAGGGGATGAGGATAGGAGACAGGCTTCAACAGAGCCCTATTTCAAGAAAGAATGCAACAGATTGCTGGGTCCAGGCTCTTGGGCATTCCTGCCTCCTGAGATCGACCCTGGCCCCACTTTTAGACCCTGCTGGACACTGCCTAGATGACTTCTACCTGGAAACTACCCAGTTCAAGCCAAGTCTTCTGGCCTCTGGTGACTTTCCCTTTTGGTATCATTGGGAGGATATGCACAGGCATCATGGACAACAGACAGAAATGTGTTACTCTTATGCTAGGTGGTCACTTCACCTCTCTGAATATTGGTTTTTTCACCTGTAAGATGGGGATATTATTATTCACACATAGGTACTATGGGACTCCAAAGAGATTTGCATAAAGAATTCAGTACAGTACCAGGCACATATTAACAGTAGCTACAGTTGCATGATGTGGACACAATGTGACACAGGAGCCAACTGAGGCTCAGAGGGGTTAAGTTACTGCCCAGGGTCCTACAGTATCAGAAGCTCAATAATTTCCTCTTTGGTCACATAAGTATCTCTGTTCTTTTGTTGTTTCAAATGTATGGATCCTGGTTTTCCTTCAGACTGTGTACTCTTTAAGGAAAAGACAGTAGATCAGCTGTTCTTTTGTCCCCCTGCTACTAACCCAGTCCACTTAAAAAAAAAAAATTCTTATTGAACTTGAATCAGTATCAATTCCAGAAGCAAAATTAATCCTTTCCCTCCTCCTCTGGCTCAAAGATGACTTTTGGAAACCCATGTCACTCCTTTTATTACAAACTCCTCTGCCCTCCTCCAGGCGCCTGGGCCACTCCGGGATTACAAATGGAGCCTTCTGCCTCTAGGTCACTGATTCCGCTACCATCTGTCAGCACCGATTGATTGAGTAGACTGGCCCTGCTCTGCAGATCAGTGACTTGTGCGAAGTGAGCCGGGGTGTTGGTGCCTTAGGCAGCAGGCTGATGTCCTTCCTCTCACTCACTGGCTCTTGAGCATGCAAACAGCCCTCACCTTGATCCTTCACCAGCCCTGGATCTCCTTCCCCTTGGGAGGGGCCAGCTGCTCACAACCCCAGCACACCAAGAGGGAAGCCTGGAAGCCCTGCTTCTCAAGCCTGAGCCCGGGGCTCCGCTTTCAGTCTTCCAGAAGGTGACTCACAGAAGTCCCTGGTTAACAGAGAGAACACTCCACACAGCATCCTGCTGGGCCTGTCCCAAGCCAGACACTATCCCTGGTAAAGTGCAGGGGTGGCCTGGTGTGGAGCTTTGTGGGCACCCCCTCATTCCACCCCAGCACCTGCTGTTTGTGAAGCTCCCAGCCCTGAATGGGGGGTGAGGGGTCAGAGGAGACTCTAATGCTGGGGGTAGGGGTGTCCAAACAGGGCCAGGGAATGCCAAGATTAGATAGTGGGCAACAGCCAGCAGCTATGCCCAGGAGGGCTGTACCCAGTGCAGAACCCTGAAAGGTCTTGTATCTGTGACACACTTGAGCATGAATGTTTCATAGGTATCATGGTGACCTCTGTTCATCAACTTGCCCCTCCATCTACTCTCCAGAGGCAAAGATGTGGCTCCCACTGATCGCCCTGCGCGCTTGGTGCACGTCCAACTCTCCTACTAGACTGTGAGGATTTGTAAGGCAGAGATACCTCTTTGTCTGGTGTGAGGCCTCCTATGCAGGGTAGGGCACTGTGTCCACAAAATGACATGTTTATGATGACAATACAGAGCAGGGAACTCCAAGCTGACTAAGAACTGGGTGCTGGACAGATTTCCCTTTATCACCCCAGTTAATGTTTGTAACAACCTGACGAGGTTGGTACTGATGTCACACCCCATTTTACAGATGAGACCTCTGAGTGCAGGGAGTTTAAGTAACTGTTCCTGAGTCACATGGCTTGGAAGAAGCCTAGCAGGGCTAGAACCCAGTCCTCCAGAGCCATCTCTTCACCATGAGCTCCCTAACACTCAGTAAACATAGGCAAGATGGGCATGGACATGGGCAGCAGGTGGACAGGGAAAGAGATGCCAGAAGACAGCAGGGTCAGCCCCAGTCTCTCCCCTCAGTGATGTGTTCAGGCCTGGAGATGGGGCAGCCTGGGGGCTGGACTCTCAGGCCCCACACCTGGACGACCTGGCCTGCCTCACAGATAGTGGCCACTGTGCCTCAGCCTCCCCCGGTGAGCAGACCTGAGAAACTGGAGACCTCTGCAGCCAGGCAGCAGGGGAAGTCACCCTCCACCCCTGGACACTCACTGCCTGGTAGCTGGACTCTCCCTGAGCAGCTGCTGGCATGGTGGTGCCAACACAGGTCACTGAGCTGGGGACCAGCCTGGTCTCACTAATGTGTCATTTTCAGTCAATCATTCAATGGCTCTGAGCCTCAACTGCTTCATCTGTAAATTGAGGTTGTGGGGGAAGGGCCTGGTGCTGCCAGGAAGTCAGGTCCCCCATCTGGGTGATGCCACTCACTGGCTCACAGCAAGCTTTGAGGCAGAGATCATTGTCTTCATTGTACAGAGCAGGGAATGGGTGCACAGAGAGGTTAATAGATCCATCCCAAGTTACACAGCTAGCAAAAGGCAGAACTGAAATTTGAACTCAGACTTTTGGCCCCAGAACCTGCAAGTTGCTCAGAACACTATAAAGAGTTAAAGATGAAATGGTGTCACAATAGTAGTGGCAAAGTCACATGCTAAACACTTCACCTGCATTAACCCATTTAATTCTAGTAAAAAATCTAACAAGTGGAGGTATTTGTCTTAACGTTCTTGCTTCATTTTGCAGATGAGGAGACTGAGGCACGGAGCAGTGAGGAGGAATCAGAGCTGGAATCCGAACACAGGCTAGTGGGCTGCAGAGCCCCTGCATCTTTGCTTTATCATGAGATAACAATAGGGAGGTTCCTTTCCATTGGGATTATTTCTGCTTGAAAGCACAAGACTTTTAGCCACATCATTGTCTGGGCTCCACAGGAAGGCAGTGCCACATGCTGAGGCATGCTGGGAAAAGACTTTGTTCCATCCTGTTTTGTTGACATGCTCTTCATTTTTAAGCCTGAAACCCAAGCTTCCTGCTAAGATTTCAAATCGTGGAGAAAAAACCCAACCATGTTAATGGCCACGACTTCCTAAGCCTCCAGTGTCCCCTGTGCTTGGGGCTCCAGATATGTCATTTAACCTCAACCTTCACAATGACAGGAGCAGCCCCCAGAACACAGCTGGAGAAACTGGAGGTCAGAGTTGCTAAGATGCCTAAAGGTACGCAGCTATTAAGTGGTTTTACCCTTAGGTCCTTGTCCCTGGATTCTCCACTCTTGACCATGGTTGCTGCCTCCCTGCAGAGGCTCAGGGGGAGGTTGTTCCTGAGCATTGACAGAACTGTTTCTGCTTATCTTCTGCCACAGGCTGGCCCAGGATGCAGGTGTGGTGTGGCCCTAGATGCTGCCTTCTCTGACAGCGGGAGCTGAGAGACAGGGATGCCCATGCTCCCTCCTCTCTCACTCCCTCCAGGGACTCAGGATAGCCACCCTGCTGTGCTTAAAAAGGCACCTGTCTTCTGGAAGGAGCCCCACCACTGAGGATCCTCATCGATGCCTGTCTCCCCACCAGCTCCTGGGGATAACCGCCAAAGCAGGTGTGCCCTGCCTCAAGACCAGCACAGCAGGAGTGGGGGCTCCTCCAACCCTCAGCCAGTCCTTGACTACAGCCTCTTTTCCCAGCCCACCCATCCCTGCAGCCGACTCATTTCCACCCCAAACCAGCTTTGACCTTACTCTCCCTGGATCAGTGGTTTTCAGTGGGTGCCGAGTGACTCCAGAATTCACGGAATTCACGTTTGTTCCTGTCTTGGAAGGCAAAGCCCTCATCTGGCTCAGCTCACCTTTCCCACCTTCGCTCCTGCCTCTCAGACTGTCTCTGCCCAACTAAACAGACTGTTCCTGTCCCGAGCCTGCCTGTCCCCAGGGAGAAATGTCCTTTCCTTTTCTTTACAGATAAAAGCTACCCTCTTTCAAATCTTACTCAAATGCCACCTTCCCCATGAAGCCCTGCCTGTGTACTCATTCATTTACTCAACAAACCCTCACTGAGCCTTTATTACATGTCAGGCATTGGACCTGGTGGTCCTTGTACTTATGACCCACGGGGCTACACGATGAGGTTAGAAGAGAGTGCCTGGCAGAAGCACTGCATGGGCAAAGGCCCTGAGGCAGGAAGGAGCAAGTAAGTCTCCACAAAAGGGAAAGAGGCCAGAGTAATAAGAGAAAAGAGGAACTGGAGATGCTGCTGGAGCAGGGAGGAGCAGGCCATAGGGGCTCTGGGACTTCATCCCAGGCCAGAAGGAGGATCCATGGATTCTGAGCAGAGGACTCAAGCCAATATTAATTTCTAAGCCATCTTGCCTGCTGCCCTGTGGCTGACCTTCTGGGAAGCCCAGATGCTGTGTCAAGCCACTCCTGCACCCCAGTCATCTGTTCATTGGGGTGTTTTTGCATCCTTCCTCCTGGACTCTGTGTATGTGTGTGTGTGTGTGTGTGTGTGTGTGTGTGTGAGAGAGAGAGAGAGAGACCGACCCATGGCCTCAGGCATCTATAGGCAAGCACCCTATCATCAAGCTACATTCCCCAGCTCTTTTGAAATTGTTTTATTAGGTGTCCAAACTGGCCTTGATCCTCCTGCCTCAACTTTCCAAGTCGATAGGGTCACAGGCATGAGCTCTCCAGAGCAGGGCTAACCTCTGGTCAACGGGCCTTATCCCCACCAGCCAGCCCAGTGCCCAGCCCAGGGAGCTGTCCAAAAACCCTCTGTAATGAACTAATGGACAGGATGAGCCTGAACCAGAACTACCCTCACCCCCGGGGACAAGGTAGCCTGAGGAGGCCTTTCATGTTCTCCATAAGTTACAAAGTTCAGGGTTTTAGTGAAGCCCCAACTCAGGGAGGCCTTGGGAGCAGAGCTGACATAGCATTGATGTCCACATGCAGTCAGCGCATAGCATGACACCACACAGGACCTGCCCATGGTCATCACGTGAAAGACCAGAAACAAAACCAAAAGATTTCACAGTTGTAAGCAAGGAGGAGCAAAAGCTTCCAGGCACACAACATGCATTTCACATGCAATTCCCACAGAGTCCGCCTTCTGGGGGGTGGGGGGGGACAGTTACAGGTCCATTTTACAGATGAGGAAACTGAAGCTCTGAAATGGAAGGTCCTAGCAAGGCATGCAAAAGCCAAGACTAGCACACAGCCTAAGTTCTGGCTGTGTATGGTCTCTGTGGGATTAAGAGAGTTTTCCAGAAATTTCTTTTAAACTGTTTTAGAGTGACATATTTCATCAGATGTCTGTCAGGCCAGCAGTGGGAGCTAACACACCGATTCTCAGAGGCTCAGAGGCTGTTCTCCTTTCTCACACGCTCAGCCCCCCGCCCAAGCCTGGTGGCTTAGCCCAGGCACCAGAGGAAGCTCCCTGGGCTTGGGTTGGCATACTGCAGGTGCTCAGTATAGTGGGTGAACAAGGAGAATCTGAACTGGCTTGAGAGAACCACAAGGGAGAATATTCCGGTAGCTTTCCCACGTGCTGGGCAGTGCTGAGCACATTAGCCACATTAACCCCGTCCTTCTCAGGATGCTGTGAGGCGACTGCAGTGGTGGTCCCCAAACACAGGCAGAGAACCAAGCTCAGCCCAGGGAGTACTCAGCCTGGGATTCCAACCCCCGGGGTGCCCGGAGGCAACCCCATGCACTGGCCAAGTGCAGGTGGGCAGAAACACTGTGGTCAGAGGAACGGTGGCTTATACTCCTCAAGGACATGCCAAGTGGGGTACCCCCCACGCCTGATGACTGCTCCTTCCATTTTCAACACATCTCTGAGGCAAACAGCAGCAACACCTGTACGGTGCCACCTCAGCCCAAGTTTTGTGTCTCCCCAGTCCCCTCCTCCCGTGGTGGCCTCTGGGCTCCCACCTTTATAACCTGCTCAGGTTGGGTGTGAAAAGAACCTTGAACAAACTCCCTAAGCTCTGGGGCCCTCAGCTTTTTCGTCTGTACAGTAGGGACACTGACGTCACCCGTGGGGGGGGCTGCATCCCTCACGCTTTACCACCTTGCGCTAAAGGCCATTTCTATTAGGTGCCCCAAGAGGTGGAATTGTTCGCCTCAAGAGCCCCAGGCTCAGGGAAGGGCACCCCCAATCACCTACCCCAGAGCAGTGGGTGGGGCAGGGGTGAGCTGGTTCCAAGATGGTAATGCTGGGGAGGGAGTGAACTGCCGGGTCCTCGTGCAATTAGCTGCCGGCTGCACGAGGCTCCCTGCAGACACCCGCACCTGGGTATTCCCAGCATGCAGTACATGACAAGGTACTGGATGGCCCAGGGCCCTCAGGATGCCCCCTGAGGACCACCCTGCTGCCAAACCCTCTGGGTCCCCACCCCAGCCTAGGTGCCATGCTAGTGGGGCTGGGAGAGCACCGTGAGGGGCCCCTCTGCAGGCTGCCTGCAGTGCGGGAGGGAGGAAAACCAGTGGGCTGACGACACCACCCCACCTTTGTGGACACCGTCGAAGACATTCAGCAACAGGAGCATCACCACCCCTTAGAGCAGCAAGGGACCTAAGAGGTGGACAGACCCAAGTCCCCATTATATGTACAGGGAAACTGAGGTCCAGGATGGTGACTAAAACATGCTTGAGGGCTGGGTGTGTCAGTGACTCTGCCATGTATGAGGGGTGCCTGGCCCCACGACTCATCTGCAGTGGTAGGTGGGCCCTACTGGCCCTCAAGACTCTCCAGTCCTCCACCATCCACTGGTCTTGCCCACACTAACCAAAGGCACAGGTTTAGCCTCATCCGGAAAATACCAACTCCCTGGGCCTCTTTTCCTGCATACTTTCAGCTCCGGGATGCCCAGGGCCCCACCCTGCTCACACATAGCTCAAAGCAGGGAAACCGTTAAACAAGCTAAGATAGGTGGCTGGACACTGCCTGCCCAACTCAGTAATGGCTTCTAAAATCTGAACTATTATTACTACCAGCACAATAATCATCCCATTTTACAGCCAGGAACCTGAGGCATGGAGGGACTATGGCATTGGCCCACAGATACTAGGTGCTGAGGCTTTCCTGTGCGAGGCTGCCTTTTCTTAAGCTGTTTGTGTTGGGGAGGCACAGGATTGAACTCTGGGGTGCTCTACCACTGAGCATCTGTGCTACACCCCTAGCCTTTTTTATATTTTGGGACAGGGTCTTACTAAGTTGCCAAGGCTAGCCTTGAACTTGTGATCCTCCTGCCTCAGCCTCCCAAGCAGCTGGGATTACAGGTGTGCACCACCCTGCCCAGCTAAGCTTCCTATCAAGTGCCCCCTAGGAGCCATGCTCTGGGCTGAGTGCTAAGAATTTAACTCATGTCACCTTTTCCACAGCCCTGTGATATGGGTGCTACTATTAGCCTAGGACACCAAGACTCTAAGAGGGCAGGTGATGTGCCTAGGGCCATACAGCTTGGGGCCAAATCACCTTGGCCCCTATTCCTTGGTCCTCTTTGCTGCCATCTCAGTCAGGGATAGGACTGGGGACTGTCACCCCAGCCTCTTCTAGGAGCTTCCTATCACCTCAGGGACCAGCCTGGAGAAACTGTTTTAAGAGCCCTCACCAGAGGCAGGCCCTTGACCAGGCCTCCAAACTGCTTCCCCCAAAACCTTGGCTCCAGCTCAGAATGTGGCCTAGGCCAGCCCTAGGCCCCAGGAGTCCAGAGATTTCAAATTAAAGGAATCCAGCATGAGATTCGGGGTTCAATCCCAGCATGGGGGAGAGAGAAAAAAAAATCCAGGCTAGTTCTCAGAGTGTGGGACCACCTGGGAATCCCCACACCACAAAGCAGCTTGAAGAGCCTGGCCGGGGAGGAGCCAGGACAAGCCAGCTCTGCAGGATCCTGGAGAATGTGTCCACAGTAAGTTGCTAAGAGCCGAGATGTTTGGGAAGATCTCGCCTAGTCTGTCAAGTCAGCTCACCCTTCCTCCAGAACTGGCTCCCAATGCCAAAGAACTGGGCCCCTTCTTCCAACCCTGTTCACCCTCTCTTTGACATGCCTAAGACCCCCTGGAAGCTCTGCTCTCGAGCCCATCTCTAGTGGCACAACCTCCCGTCTTTGCCTGGCACACTTCTCCCTACACTTCAAAGACTACCTCCTCTGGGAAGCCTCTCTAGATTGCCCTGTCAGAATTCACAAGGGGACCCAGGGAGAGCATTTTTTATCTTGCTCCAAGGTTACCATTAACACAGCTGCCATTAATTGAGTAACTGCTGTGTGCAGATGCTGTACCTGTGGTCTCCTTAATACCCATAAGGAAGGGATCACCACTCCCACCTTTTAAAACTGCAGCTCTGAGACTAAGTAACTTGCCCAAGATCACATAACTAGGGCATAACTAGTTGCATCCAGGAAGGCTACAACTTAGGTCTGGCTCATCGGGAGTGGAGGTGCCTGGAGGTGGGGGGTGTGCTGTGCTTTTCCCACCTCTGTCTGCCAGACGGGCTACCAGCTCCAAGTGGGCAGGCACTCTGAGGACCTGGATAGGGTAGAGGGGGCTGACAGGGACCAGCTGGCCCTCACTGTGGATGCCCAGCCTGGTGCTCCCAGCACATCTGGCCAGGAGGCACTCCAGCCCAGGGCTTGAAATGGACCCAACACTGTGGCCTTAGGGAAAGTCTATCCATGCCTCCCTCCTTTCCCATCTGGCACACAGAGTCCATGAGGCACCAGAGCCCCACAGGTCATCAGGGTGGCTAAGCCCCAAAACTAAGTCCATTCAAGCAGGCAACTGCTCCTCCTCACAGTCCCTGGTGCCCCAGCTCAGGTTCCATGTCGCCTCTCATGTGCATGGCTGCAATCTTGCCTCCACATGCCAGACTCTGTGGGGGAAATGCCCCTTTGTGTGGGTTTGTCCAAAGTTGAGCCCATTACACTGTCAAGGATGGGGGCGGGGGGAGCCACTCCATCCTGGTGGTACCACTTCCTGGGAGATCT